AGCTTGGTGCCTGCTGAGACCCCTACGGTCATCCACAGACTCAGATCCAGCTGCCCTATTAAGGGAGAACCTTAACAGCATCCCACAGCGCCGATCATCCATCCAAGCAGACGAGCGGTCCTGTGTGAAGGAAAACATTATCCCTTCATCAGTCCCGGGAGGCACGGGACCTCCCATAGCGCATCGTCATTACTGCACACTGCTTCTGTGGACACATACTGTACATAAATGCATACTTCAGACGGTGGATAGCGAGTGGGGCAGCACAGAGTGCATGTGGATTTAATCACAGGAGAAGAAAAGAAAGTCTCTCCCCCTGTACGGGTCCAGGAGTTTGAGGCACTGCACTGAACCGTATAAGTTGTACCTCAAGAATGATGTTTCCCATGTGTCCCCGGAGCCGGTGTTTTAATACAGAGCATGCACACGGGTTTTGTTGTCATTCGAAAGACTACTCAGTGTCTCAGAGTGAGTACATAACACTTAACCTTCAAAGAGCTGTGAGTATCACTCAAGGATTTCCACTCGAAAGGCACTTTAGTCTGCCATTAACGCAGGCAGACGACGACGTCTGAGATGTTTTAAGCTGAAACAGTTCCCAACTGTCAAGCCGCCTTGTTAATATTCAACCAGTCAAATATGCAGCTGGATGATGTGGGCCAATAATGTCTTTCACCAGCCCTCCCTCTCTTACTGTGGAACATCAAGCGATGCTAAAAGGGAGGGGGAGGGAAGAAGTGCTTTGTTGAGCAGCTGGATCATCTTCGTCACCGTCTACTTTGGGGTTTTTTTCACTCTACCCACACAGGGGCCCGTCTCTGCGTAGGACGCAGTCTGCCCTTCACCTCAGCCTGTGCGAGGGAGACAAAAAGCCGGCTGATTGATGATACGGACGCTCTCCTCTTCATCTCGCCATCTGAGACGAGTTGTGCTCGCGAGCCCACATCGCCGCGTTTATTCACGCGAGCGAAGGATGTCAACAAGTGGGTCCACGCTGAAAAGCGGGCCGAGTCCGCTGACAAATGACTGACATTTTTCTTTTTCGCTGAAGTGGGCTTATAATGTTCTCTGTTAACGGTCAGTTCTGAGAAAGATGTATTTGCTCTTGGACACGGAGCCAAATCTGACGATGAAGTTGTCAAGGCGGAAAAACGCCACTGTTCTCAGAGGGTTTGAGAAAGATACAGGCAGTGTGGATGAGGGGGAAATATATATATATATTGTCAGATGTTCACATAATTCTTCATCCCACTTCAAGGAATAGTTGAATCCCACCCACATCACACATCAAGTGGAAAGTAATGTGGAGCATAATTCACATTTTATCACTTCACAACCACAAAACTTCAATCTACTTAATATGACAGAACAATTGTGGTAGAGAAAAACGAGTCGTAGTTGAAATTTTTTTATCCTCATAAAAATCGCATTTTAACAATTGCACTGATTGCAGTTTCCTGGCCGATCACCAATAAGAGCATAATCTACAGATTATGTATTGGATTTTGGCCAGTACATCTTAATTCGTCTAATTATAGCGACACAGTTGCTAAGTTGGCCAAAGTGGGGAACTATTGTTGACCGTATTTCAGACGTTTGTGGAGGCAAATAACGTCAGTTTCCCATGTAAGTATCAGCCAATAATCGATCACCACACACTAAGAAAACAGAGGCCAATTAATTAACCGGATGATTTGCTGTTGCACCCCAAATTAAAACCAATGTATATTTTTCCTAGTGTGGACCAGTCAAAAGCCTAGACCCAACTTCAACTGAGAATCTTTTAATATGTTTTGTAATATCACACCTTGAAATTGAGCCTCTGTCTCTTTAAAAAAAGAAAAAAACTCCTGCCCTTTCCAACACCCCACCTTCAGGAAGTCATCACAACATTACACATCTATTCACCCTTTAGCAATGCAAAGCTTGCATAACGAGCTCAGCAGTTTCACTGGTTGTCTGCTAACTTCTGCTGGCTAGTCTGAAGGAGCTGAATATGGGAGTCGCTTGAAAGCTTAGAAATTGCAGAGTCCTCGAATGTGCCGCCACCAAGCATGTTGCCGCGGGAGATTCAAGAATTGCTCAAACATGCATGAGAGAATCAAGGCAACACTCCAGGTATGTTTTTGATGAGGGAATAACATAACACCATGTAAAGCTAAAAAAAATATATATATATTTTACATAAGACTGCCCCTTTAAAGTTTGTAGTTGCAGCGTGAAAATGTGTGAAAAATAATTTCCAAGAGTCTGAATACTTCCAGAAAACTCCGCATGTATCCACAAGCAGCACATCAGCGTACGGAAGGTTAATGCCGTTTGAAAAATGAGGGTCAGAAACTAAAAACCTACAGTTTTGCATCTCAGGCGACGGGGTCGGAGGTGAGTCCCTGCTGGAGTGTACAACATCTAATTAATCATTCTACTGTACATAATGAAAGCCCATGTGTATGAGAATACATTAAGCCAAGAGAAACCTGTGACGGGGTGGGTTTAGCGGAGGGGAGTGTGAGGAGCAGCAGGCAGAGGGAGTTCTGTGTGAGCGCGTTAAACTCTGTAGAGTCCCACAGGGCATGGATACAAGGAAGAGGATGTGGATGAAGGCTGTAATAATAGAAAACTTAAGAGCACAGGTCAGAGAAGTTATGACTCAAACTGGGATTTTTTTTTTCTTCTCCTCTTCTGTGAGCTCCTCTGGAGGCAACGGTCTCGGCTGATATAAACATAAACCGTGACCACTTCAGTAATAAAGGAGCGCTGCGAAGGTTCACCAGGCTTTGGCATAATTCCTTTTTTCCTCGATACTATAAAGTTCTGTGATGCATATCCGACTCCCCCCCAAAGAGGGAAAATGTTAGTGGAAATGTCACAGCTCTCCTAATGACAGGATCCTGATCCTATTTTACGAGTGTCTAAATAAAACCATCCAGATATACATTTCCATGGGCAAACTGGATGCGATTATGCTGTTATAAGATCGGACTCGGGCTAACAGAGGGTTTCCCTTGACGGGGGGGAGGAGGAGGGGGGAGGAAGCCCTTGGGAATTAAGAAGGTAGCATTTACATGTTACCACGTTTAAATATAGCTGTGGAGCAACAAACCTGTGTTTGTCAACAAATCCTAGGATTTCCTTTTGGCTCGCGTCCTTAACGACAGAAACAGGGTTCCCCCTTCTCGTAAGCAGCAACTTGTCTCTGCGGTGTACAGAGGTGGCTTTAAGGTAACGTTTTCTAAATACCTCCACCCTGTTTTTGGTGCCAGGATACGCATAAGGTGGTTAAAATCTGACATTTTTCCCCCCCGTTTTGCCCAGTAAACATGATGTAAATTGCAGGCCCTGTCATCTCATATCAGGTTAAAGATGAGACAGTTTCATTCATCAGAGCTTGCTATTGTTAGCTGTCCATATGGCGCCATCTGGTGGGTGGAAATATTCTAACACACAAAAAGTAGAGCTACAGGAAGAAAGTTCAGTGGCTTCAAATGAGAAGAGCAAACAGATAAAGGATCCAGCTTTACCCAAAAGAAGAAAACGCCTTTAGTAGATTCTTTGTTTAAAGTCGCACAATGCGGAAATTGGATCATGTATTCCATTTAAATTAAAAGTGTGCCTGATGTCTTCTAATAATTTGGCAAAAAAAAAAAAAAACAAAATAAAAAACATGCGGAAGCGACAATGCTTTTAAAATAATTTAGCTGTAACAAACTTAAATATTTTTATTTTACTTTATTTTTTTAGACAGACTCGTTAGAGCTTTTTTGCATGGAATACATTTCTAAATCAGAATGACAAGTGGAAGTAGTATTTATTTATTTTTTCCTCATCAGTGCATTGGCAACTAAATACTTGGTTGTTGTTTTTTTTTTTTTTAGATTATTTTCCAGAAAAATACACTTTCCACAGAAGAATCCTATTTTTTTTATTAACATTTTATGATTTCTTTGTTTCAAAACGTAAAACCAGAAATCAAGTGGAGTTTCTTAAAATATGACCACAAATTTCCTATAACAGATCGATCTGTGGCTCTGAAGTTTTATTTAGCTGGACTGAGGACAAAAACGGCTCTTTGGTTTGTAAAGGTTGCAGAAGCTGCAATCACAACTATTAATGCAAATCTGCTCCGACTTGCCATTTTCACCAGTCATTGCAACTATTCATTAAATCTGACCAATCATCTTAATGTTTTCTGTATTTCCTCCTTTTCCGACCAATCACTGTAACTCAGCAGAATTTTGCCCCCTTCCAATTTAACTTCCTGTTTCACAAAGTTTCCTGAAAGCCAAACCTGCAAGATGAAAGCATGAGTAATGCTAAACATTTGCCTTGTTTTTGGTAAAAACCCTTTCTTGAATCATGTTAACATGACCGAGCAATGTAGGATTCTTCTTTTGCACTTCTGACAACTCCTCAGGATGTAACTTTATTTGAATTAAGGGCGTCGTTTCAAGAAAGCACTAGAGAATTTTATTTCCACTTTAAATATTAACTTTGTCTTCTTTGGGAAGATCATGTGCAGCTTTTGTTTTTTTGTTGTTAGTTCTTTTTTCTTTTAACCAAAATATTTTTATTGAGATTTTCCACTTTGAAAGTAAAATGATGTACCAGTCTGAGTAAGCTACTTTTGTAATTACTACATGACAGCAACAGCAAACTATGAGCCCATTTTGGGGCTGCAACTAATCCAAGTCGTAGAAGAAATGAAGGACAAAATAAAATAATAAAGAAAGAGGACTAAACCAAAAATGAAAACAGAAAAACACAGCTTCTCAAAACAACTGGGATAACTCAGCATTATCCAACAATTGTTCACGTCTACGCAGCAGGTCACAGCAAAAGTCCAGCAAGAATTTTTACTTTTTTTGTGTGATCATGTCATAGCAAAATTAAAACATAAAAAAAGTCATTTTAGGCCTCAAAGATCAGAAAGAAAAAAAAAAAAAAAAACCATCACAACATCCTGGACTGTCTTTGACTCTACAGCGTGGCGGGACCCTTACCTGAGCAAAGAAAAAAAGCTGTAGGAGTTCCTGACTGAACTCTGGTCGACCTGAAGCAGACTGTAATTCTTCCGCTCCGACGAATCCTGAAACGAGTCACGTGTTTAATGCCGACGTCCAAATATAACTAATGACATTGGGGGATCAACCGTTTCATAATTGTGCAAAATCTTCAAAAAAAAAAAAAAAAAAAAAAAAAATTTGAAAAAAAGGTTTTACCTTGTGATCAAAGTCAGCTGCATAGTAGCCATCATTCAGCCCAAATATGATCTCATTTGGGTATCTGGATCGAATCTGTGGGCAAAGCGAGGGGGTAAGAGGATGAATATGGGGACCGGGTCGGAGAGAACAAAGTGCAACAGACATCTGGATGTGCATGAAACTGAGTTATCTGTTTATGAGCTTGGAATACGGTCCCACTGAGAAGGAATGGCAAAACCATAGGGTTTGTTCTGAAAGTGCTTGAAGACTGAATTCCCCCCCATTCAATGTGCAAAACTCAAGACAGACACCAAAGTGATTTTCTCCATTGGAATTTTAGAAATATCCCGCCGACTTACAAAATCCATCACGTCCCTCATTAAACTTTTATGCGTGGTGCTTAACGCAGAAGATCAAACAATGCACCAAAGCACCAAAACATTGTGATTGATGACTTCTGCACTGATTTGAAATGTCTGGAAGGGGAACAGAAAATTAAGAGGTTTTTTTTCTATATTGTAAATGTAATTTACAGGAATACAATTTTTTTTTTTTTTTTTTTTACTTTCTAAAACATTCATCATTCTAACTTCCCTCAAGTTTAGAATAAAAGCTTACATTATCTTGTTCACATGTAGGAAGGATTAGATTTACCGCAGCATAAAATGAAAAAGGAATGCAGAGATGTGGGATTTACTACGGCGCGGGTTTACAGTGCTCGAGAATCTGAAAGGAATGTGGGATTTACTGTAAGGATTTACAACCCCGCCTCCGACAAAAACAACAATAATACCAATAGTAGAATGACAAGGCCTTACATACGGTGCAGATTAAAACGCAACGCAACAATCTGCACGTAATTTAAACTCGATATCTGAGGAGCGGTCGAGATCGTGACCGTCTAATATATCTTGAGAGAAGGTACAAATATCCGCAGACGGCTCAGCATTAAAAACAGACACCGTCCCGCGGGGGGGCGGAGGGGTTAGGAACGCTTTTCAGAATTACCGACAGTGAAAGCGGGTCGCCTTCGGATTCAACACGTGTTAACGGTTCAACTTTGGTGGACGAGGTTACAATTTTTCAATGTAGAGGAAAAATAAGATTTTAAGAAGATCCAGAAGCAGCAGCGGAGCACCGCCTTGCTTTGGAGTAATAAAAAAAAAAAAAAAAAAACAGATACGCACTTGGAAATCCTTGACTTTCCGTCCTCTGGGGCGGAGAGAAAAGAGGAACATCGTTTGAAGCCAGAACGGCCGGTAAGCTGCACATCTGTGCAAAGATGAACGACTTCTACAGATGTATGTATTTAGCTTGTAAATATTTCAAATCTATACGTCTGTGATAAAGAAAGGGTGGCTCACTATTAAGTACACCATGAAACTACACATATATTTCTCATTATCTTACTGGATTTTAGGTCAAATTCACAACTGAAAGTAATAAATTATGTTGTTTTACACATGGTGTTTGTAATTTTATAGGTCAGTCCAACAGAAAATCGAGCATAACAGAAGAGAAACAAAAAATAATTGCATGTGGAATCGACATTTGTTTTGTATCAAGTGCTTTTATATTCAGCCTCTTACTCTGATGCCCCCAAATAAAGGAAGTTTAGGTAAAAAAAAAAAAAGGGCCACATTTTGAACAGCACTTTCAGAACTTTTCAATCCATCATCTAGAAATGTAAATAGTACGACACAAATAAGACAAGGTCGTCCAAATAGACTGGGACTAATCAGAGAAGATGCCAACAGGCATAAAGTAGCAGCGCTGGACTAAACAAAATATCAACCATCAGAAACATCCTCTACTAATCTGGCCTTTATGGAAGAGTAGCTGCATCTCCACTGGCCACATAATTGTATGAAATGTAATTACAAAAATAAATTTGATAAATGGAAACACACCGTACGTGTGGATGTATGTTCCGATCATACGGTTTTGCGCCAGGATGAGGTGGTTTTTTTACTTAAAAACAGGGGGGGGGAAGTCTTGAGAAAAAGAATCTGCTAATGGAAATTGTACTTTTTTTAAGACATATTCAAGGATTATTGACTTCAAGCAAATTTATACATCTTGCTGAAAAGTTACATTTAAAGTTACTTATGTCTCATTTAAAGTGAACTAAGCTATTTACAGTAAAAACAAGACAAAAAATACTTGGTAAGATTTTGTGTTTTTTATCCAGCAGATATAGTTGCAAAGAGTGATAGTACTTAGATGGAATGAAAACAAACATTATACCAACGTTTTATGGCTTCATGCTTATCAAATACAATGCTAGCAAAATATGTGGTTGTCATTTTTATAATTATCTTTATGTTTTTTAGCTTTCTTAATTTATTTACTGATTTATGCAACAGCACATGTTTTTTCCCTGGATTAATTAAAGAAAGAAAATGGCAATTAATCACAAAATAACTCTGAAGATTTAATTTGTGTTGTGACATCACTTGGTTATGTTCTGTATTTTATGTTTGTCTTGTCCTAAACACACAGATTTAAGATAAAGACTAAAACAAAATATAACCTTTATTTGTTTTTTTTTTATTATTCTTATTCATTTTCTGTTGTTCGCTCTCTTATCTAAGTGGTAATTTGTAGATCAATGCCTCCGTTTATTAGTCTGTAATGTTTGTTTTGTATGCACTAATGGTGAATTAATTTTTTAAAATTCATCTTTATAATTTAAAATGAAGCACCTGCACTTAGTTGGCGCATTGAACCAGGGTGTCTTAGTGAGAGCAGCATTTCTAAATGTGTGAAAACGGCTCCTTGTTGTTCTACCAAAGAGGACACAGCTCCTTAGTGAACCCATGTTGTTGTAAACGGGTGGCTCACCTGTTGCCCTGTGTATCTCAGGCCGTCCAAGTTGACCTTCCACTCAATGAGGAGCTGGTACTGCTCCTGCTGCCCTCCCCAAATCCGAACCACAAAGCAAGACACTGAAGTATCCAGGAGGTCCGGGAGCATACCAAAGTCCAAGCTTCGCCAGGTCGGGTTCTGGAACACACAAAAACGCACAGCTGAAATCTGGCCGACACAACGAGAGTCAGAACAAACGGGCTGATTGAGGTTTCATGATTAAAAGAAAGACATGAACGGGAGCACATTTTTGAGAAAAGCCGAGTTAAATCTTTACAAACGTTTTAGACACAGTGAGTGAGAGACGGTTATTAGGAGGCAATGCTGCTGGTGAGAATGTGTTCTTTCTTTGCTGTGCCAAACGAAATGAACTAACATCTCCAACCGAGGACAGCAGACGGAAACGAAGGTCAAGTGTACTCACCAGTGAGTCTCGAATGACTTCACTCTTGTAAAAATCTGGAAAGAGAAATACCCAGTGAATAAATGCACATTAAATACAGGTCGCGTGTGTGAGAATCCCAATGATAAACCCGAAAAACATTTTTTTAAAAATGTAAAAATCCTTATCCATATAATTATACATCTACTTCTACTTTTCAATCCTGCAAAATTACCTTGACATGGTTTTTCACTTGGTAATATTACCATCCCGATTTTAGTTTAGCTAATTTTTCTTTGTATTTAGAAGACATCAGCGTAATCTCACACATTGTTTCTCAACGGACTCAGTGTGCAGACAAGGAAATGCACCATCTCCTTTCTTAGCAATGCCTTTGGAATGTGTGCTGGATTCAATCTTACCGTATAGAGAAAAGTTTTCTTCAAAGACTTTGGATATAAGGTTTGTGTGTGGAGCAGCTTCAGGTAATCAAAAGCCTCTTTTGCCAAACACAAGCAGGCGAAATCGCCACTTTTCCAGCCTCTTTTTTGACATGTTTTTAAGACTAGTTGTGGGTTTAAATAGCGTTTCACTGGCGATGTTTTCCTGTAACATATAATTGCCCAGTAATATGTTTACATTTCCTGTCTGCTTAACAAGTTTTAATACAAAAATATGGTGGACCGCTTCGTCGCCGGGCTAAGCAAGTTTTCTGGGGGAAACCCCGAGATGGTCGATGTGACCGACTGATTTAATGCAACAACACATCAGAAACATTGTCGCGTTTTGCTTCAGACACCATTTCCTGTTTCTAGAACACTGGGAGGGTTAGGTGGGTTGTGCTGTTTCAGAACAGATCACTGGACTTCAGTAGCGCTGTGACTTGATAGCAGAGCAAAAATTAACGCTTTAGAATCACACAAGTGATAACAAGGTTAATGCTTTATATTTCCTCCGCTGAGTTCGCCATTTGAAACTGTTTAAAACTGCCTACTTAAATAGTTCAAACATCCCTAATATAAAAAGACGTAATAAAGAGTACTTATTAGTTTTATTGTTATCGCAATACCACAAAGTAACATGATGAAACTTTAAGTCCATAACGCCCACAACTAGTTTCTATGCATTATTGCAAGCAGTGGAAACCACAGACCCCAATATCTAAGAACAAAAAAGCTAACTTCTACAGTTTTCCGTATTTTAGCTCTTGTAGGCACAACCAATCAGCACCAATGAAAATAAACGCAGCTCATGGATTGGATGGCCAACATATACTCACAGCTCTACGGACTTCCCCATAACACAACCACAACACAGAATAGGAAATAAGATTTGCCAACTCAGAGTCTGACTTACGTCCCCGGATAAGGTTTACAAGTCTGACATGCAGAAAAGTAGGTATATGTTTAAAAAAAGAAATAAAAACTGTTTGAACTGTCAGAGTTACTGCACTTTTTTGGCTTCCATTACATTAACTTATTTAAGTTTTTGGGGGTATTTTTTAAGTTACAGTTCAGATTCAATGATGTTGTACGTTTCCAAAAGTTTCGATATTACAACAAAGAAGGTTTCCACCGACCTCTAGAAATGCGGTCTCCTACGCAGAGGTGGAGGGTGAAGTAAGTGTCCAGCAGTGGAGAACCATTCCTGTTGACTATGTTCCTGGCAGCGATGCTCCGGAGATGACGCAACCGTCTCTGTTTGACCAGGGGGGGAAAAAAAAGAGAGAGAAGGAGAGAAAAACATGGATGTGATTCATCATGAGCAGAAAGCTAACGGCAGAGCTGAAGTCTGCAGTTTCGGTTTTGTTCCAGGGATTCCTGTAACCTCCACAGACATGCAAGAAGTTGTTTTTGTAAAGATAACCTTTAACGTGGACATGTTCCTGTGTTTCAATGAATTAAACTTTAAGTGGAAGGTTTCACAGAAAGCAGCAAAGCTCTTCGTTTCATCCTTTTGACTTTTCGACTTCTGCCTTTCACGGAACGAGTCAGGTTTTGAAATACTGGCCGCCTTTTAGGAAATATTCGAGTTAAGAGGCTCCACTTCCTAGAGAAAGCGCAGCGTCTGCTGTTTTAGGAACGCTAGCCCTGCTAATGGCTTGTGCAAGATGCTAAAAACCATGTCGGATGTCAACTTCATAATATTTGTCTGTTCTGAAACAGTAGTTTATATATTGCAATATAGTGTCGTCCCGCGTCCAACTGAAACAATTTGCAGAAGTTCACATCAGGGAGGCGAGAAGAAAACTTTTGATATCTTCATAAATGAAATTCTAAAATCTCGGACACAGGAATTGGAAGCAAAAGTTCCATCAGCGCATATCTTCTTTTTGCTATGCAAGCATTCATTTTAATGTCTCTCTCTACGTGGGTGAATGCATGTGTGAGTCAGTGGGGAAGGATGAAGACAAGGAATTACATTTGGCCTTGACCGGTCGGCCCAGCCGGCTTCCTGCAGGCGAGCAGAGGCAGAATCTAAGTCATGAGATTCCCTATAAGATTACTAACCCTAAGAAACAAAATGACTGATTGTTCCACTGGGGACTTTGAAATCCCCTCCTTACAAAATGCCACTGCATATTTCTGAATGAGCTGCGGCGGAGACGCACAAAGAAATAAGGGATGTGATGGAGCTACGGCAGGGAACTGGGTTCTTCAAAGCAGAACTACGTGAAACACATGGAGGGCAGCTGAGAGCGAAATGAAGTTGTCTGAAAGTGCGACTCTGGTGTGCATTTGGTGTAACAATCGCATTATGTGAGAACTAGCTTTGCTCCGAGTGTCTGAAATGCATGACTGGAAAGGCTCACCGTGGCATCTGAAACAGATTCATTCTAAAAATAGACTCGATATGAAACAACCCGGAGAACACAATGCGTGCAGATTGCAAACACCTGGAAAAAAAAACTTTGCACAAACTCCTCACATGTACGGGGTGCTGTTTGTAAAGTCCGACCGTTAAAAAAGAAATAATAATAAAAATAAAATAAAATTAAAAAAAGAACAATGAAAATATGTCATTGTTTATTTTTCATAGTCATTCTCTCACCATGTTATTCCTACATTCATAAATGCCAGGCTTCCAAACTAAATATTTTGTTCACAAGCTGAATATTGAATTTTCAAACTAAATATTTAAACTGCTACCTAAATATTAAACTAATATATTTACATCTGAGCTAAATATTTAGTTTTGAAAATATTTAGTTTGCAAATTGCATTTATTTTTAGTTTAGTTCCAAACTAAATATTTGTTTTCCAAACCAAACATTTAATTTCCAAGTATTTAGTTAGCAAAAATAAATATTTCATTTGGAGCCAAGTATTTAGTTTGAAAACTAAATATTTAGTTTGGAAGATAAATGGTGGTGAATTAAATATGTAGCTTAGAACTCTGATATTTTTAAATGTATGAATATCATGGTAAAGACATTTCTTTAAAAAATGAACAACCTCATTTTTCTTCACTATATAACTGGAAAAAATGAACCAAATTATTGCCATCATGTTTTTACTGTGTAACTTTACAAAGAAAAAAAACGGCAACACATCTGGGCTGTAGAATTTATGCTTTTTTTTTTTTTTTTTACATTTATTTTTGGCTCCAGACAATGATAAAAAATATATATATATATTTTGGTTCCACTTTGCAATTACGCAATTATTTTTTAAGACAATATTTCATTATTTGAAGGGTAGCTTTCACTAGAAGGAAAATGTAATGTTCAAAGCACTTTACTGTTCTTATACACGTAAAATCCAACTAACAAGACAGTTTATTAAACGTAACCTTGCTAGTATTAGTTTTTATGACTTTATGAGCACGACTACTGTGACTGTACATCTAATCTATGACTGTCGTTTTATTTTTGCCATCAACATTCACAATGCAATTCGAAAGAAAACAAACATCCAACGTAGAAAATTTGCACGTGATCACAGACAGATTGTTCTGGATGGACGTTTGCATGAGACGATGACGTCACACTGCCACAAACCGAGGGTTAAACTGTATTGACACTATGCCAATTGTTACACACGGTGGGGGCAGCATCATGCTCAGGTCCCGTTTCCCTGCAATGACAACGGGAGAACTGAAACCTGAGGATGTGAATGTTTTATGTAGGACACTGACCTCAAACTAGATATGGACAAAAATAAAATATATAAATTTTCTTTCTGAAAATTAAAGCTATAGTTTCAATACTGACCTAACTAGTTGCAATAAGTAATACAACATTAACTATAACTCAGGAATTGTTGGATTTTAGGGATGAATAATGAAACTTTCTCAACCAGCAAAATATTAAAGTGCTGATCCGGTTTGCAGTTCTGCGTTAGAGTGCCAATATGTTGGAGTGCAACCAGAAAGTAGTTAAAGTTCACGCTACTGCCTGCGATCTCTTCTCCATTTTAGAAAAAAGCTGAATAATGCTGACCTCATATTTGGTCTCACCTGTTGCGTTTTAACTTTTAACGCCTGCCTTTATCGATGTCGTGGAGATTTTCTGGTTTTCTGATAGACACTGAAAGCGTTTCATTTCCCAGCACTACACCAGACAAACGGCAAAATAAATTGTGACATTCACCACATAAAATGTATTCAGAGTGGTTTTCCAAGAGACTACCAGAAATATTGTAGCTTTCTTAAAAAAAATAAAAATAAAACGGTCAAATCTTTTCCAGAGAAATGATGATTAATGAAAGCAAAAACTTCCCAGAAGAGCACACACAAACTTCCAACTAAGATTTTGCAAGCTACCTGCTGGCAACTAAAGTTAAACTTGCCAAACAAAAGACAATGATGATGCAATATTTTTAAAAGAAAAAAATAAGCAGGAGGCACATATGACCACCGCAGAAATACTCTTTCCTCCATTAACAGTTTCAAAATGATTGATTATTCTCCAGTCTGGCTCTGTTAGCCTGAAACCGTTGACCTTGGTTCTCGATTTGTCACCGTTTACAAATTTCTGACTTGTTGGAGGCTCTTTACTGGCTAACGTTGGTGAACCTCTTTATGTCTCCAGCCTAGAGTAAATGTAGTTTGTGGATTGAGCAGGACGGTCCAAACAAATCGATCGTCCTCCACGTCAATTCAATTCAGACGCACTGTCAGAAACGGCATAATGCTTTTTATTGCACAAATGTGTTCATGAGGTCAACAGCTGTCATGGGCTGTGTTTACATATCCACATGACAACACATACAGGCGATATGTGGAACAATCTCGTCGCAGTTGCGGGTCATTGTAATGTTCTGAATCCGACACGTTAGAAGGCTTTAAAAAAAAAAAAGAGCTAGTAAATATTTTATGCATGTTTGGAGAATTATCCGACCCTGATTCTGGACGCTGTGCAGCTGGAAACATTTTTGCTTCAGGTTTAAATAAATCTCTTAGATCAATACTAATGGGCAAGGGTTGTATCTAGGCCTGTCACAATAAACAATAAATCAATTAACCGTATGACAAATGAAAGCAAACACAATCATTTCTGCATAATTTTTTGTTTTTCCTCTATCAAAAACTAGATGACAAAATTCTTCATTCTGGAGTTTTTGTCTCGACTAGCCCTTTTTTGAAGGACAATTTTGTTTGAGGAGACTTCAAAATGTATTTTATTTGTTGTTTCTGTTTAATTTTTTTTTTTGGATACTTTAAATTTCTTCCAGTTCCAGGGTTAGATGTTAGTTAGAATTTAAAGTTTATTGATGCTTTAAGAATGTGTTCCTGCATTCTTATGCCACCTCAAAACAACAATTATTGTCGTTTATCGCAATAACATCTGGGACAATTTATTGTCCAGGAAAACTTGTTATCCTGACAGGCCCAGTTGTATCCCCAACTCTAGCATTTCTGTGACTAGCTGTACCACCACAAAAGTGAATGAGATGGATTAGCAGTGCTGATTGTGTAATTGAGCTGTTGGTAAATCATGACAGTCGTGAGGCTGTCATGCATTAACAACCTTCAGCCAGAGGCCTCTTCAGATTAGCTGCAAGATTGGCTGCTACAGGAGAGCCTTCCTCCTCACAGCATCACCTTTCCCTGAAGACTCCTTGATAATGAATTACAACATTTACTTTCCCTTTGGGATAAATAAAAGTTTTTTTCTGAATCTATTCGACGTTCTTTGATAGAGGATTCCCATTTAAGCATCTTAAATCTTACCTGATTTCTAAAAAATAAAATGCATCGAAACATAGTGTGTTGGTGAAAGTGTTTGTAGACGTAAAGAATCCAACTCATATCCACATAAAAATGTTGCCATGCAAAAACATATTGAAAGGTCCAAAGTGTCAGCCACATTACCATGATAAGCTGACTGATATTTCAGAGGCCTGATTATAGGAAAACTGAGTGAAAGAAAGACGCTTAGGATTGCTGAAGTTAGATCGTCATCAGATAGAGGGAAGTGGTTTAACAAAGTAAAAAAAATAAAAATAATAGAACCAGTTCGCCCTTGAATCTTACTGTTTGTTTCGAGCCAAAATGAAGTCATCTGCAGTGAGTACCGAGCACGCTTCAACTAATGGCTTACATTAACACAATGACGCACTGTTGTTTTTAGAGGCTCTGGCAGAATGAATGAATGAATGAATGAATGAGAAGAGTATGATTTTTTTTTACGAACTTCCCGATTTAAATTAGCAGTAAAGCTCAAATAAAGCCTGAAGTTGAGAAAATTGCAATAAAATTGCAGTGCAAACAACACAATGACATACCCTGCTACTTTCCCCCCCTCAGCTGAATGACCTGTCACATGCAGATGGGCATAACGTCAAGTTCTGTCACATTTTCAGAAGCACAGCTGCTTGGAACAGAAATTCTAGGCATTTTACGGTAAAGATGCCCCTAAATGGAGCAGCAAGAGGCCCGTTTTAATATTTCAAATGCAGGTGGAGAGGATTAAAAGACACCGGTGTCCCAGAAGAGATCAGTTTATTTCCTGTGAGCTAGCTGAAGTAAGCTAGCTGTGGCTAGCTCACTAGCTCGCAGTCAGTCTGACAGGCCTGGTTTCCTCTGGCAGCAGTTGTAAAACTACAGCAGAACACAAACACATGACTCCGGCCAAGTTCTGCTCAGTCCGCCTACCTTCCGCTGGTGCCGAATAGTATAGTCAGGGGGAGTTTGCGTTTACCTGCTGGGATGTGAGCTCCACATGCAGGGCTCGAGAGGATGAAGCTCCAGAGTTGGTGACAGAGGCGGCGGGGATAGCAAGAGCCCGACCGGTGATGGAGTTCATCCTCCTGTCGGCATCTAGCGACTCTCCTTCTCATTCAACAAAACGCTCCATCCTTAGCATTTCAAAACAAAAGTTCACCAAGTTGCGGGCAACCACGACAGACACGCAGTTACGAATGTTCATGTGCGTAAAGCTTTCCGACAGCTGTCAGTCCAGCAGCGGGACGTAAACAAAGTACGGGCTATTCTGCTACATTTGCTTTCGGAAGTCCATCTTTGAAATGGAAGTACGTCACTGCCGTCCGTGATTGGCTTAAAGTGACATCTGTTAAGCAAGGGAGGGGCTTATTCCTGGCAAGGTGCATTTCTATTGGCTGAAAGAGCTGTTTGTCAACCAGGAAGGGCCTAGCGTCGGTGGAAATCTGTCAAATCTGCGAAATATGAGGAAGTTGTATGAGCAGCGTGACATGCAGGTGACAGAAAAAACGCTGGTCTTCATAGTTTTTCTATCAGAAAGTCACTGAAATCGAACACAATATTACAAGAGCATGTGAAATATAAAAGACTACCAGAAACGTAAGTTTTTACATATTTCAGCATTCTTTAGATAAATAAAACTGTGATGGAATTGAGGATATAAAGAACGTACAATAAGGTCTATTTTACCTGAAAGACTAAGTTTAAAAAAAATTAAGTTGTAATTTTACAGTAAAACGGCTGAATATACAATTTATATTTTATACAATTTTATATATGACTATGCAGTTTTATACAATGTTATTTTTCTGTTAAATGTTACACTAAAAAAGTGTCGTTAGTATCAACATGTAAATAAGTCAAAAATACTCTACAGGAAGTCACGTTATACCAGTCAACCACCAGGGGGCGACACCACCACATTGCATCTTTTTACAAACAAGCAAGCTGACCTATTGATTTTTTTTTTAATTATTTTATTTTATTTTGTTGTGTATTCTTGCACAATGGCAATAAAGGAATTCTGATTTGTTTGTTTCTGTAAGCATGCATATGGAAACAGACTTGATTTGGTGGTAAAACAGAAATTAACTACTTTTTGCCAAACAAATGCTGGGATTTAAACATCTGTACTTTTGCCCAAAAGTTATTTCTATTCATCTTTTTCACACTTAGGTATTGTTGCAACCACAAAATGTAACATTTATTGTAGGTTAATTTGTCATACTAATATGGTATAAAGAAAATATTTTTTTTTAAAACACTCTTCGCTGCCATTACAGCTGCCAGCCTAAAACTAAAGGCTGAAATCTTTATACACTGAGGTTTGTAGCTGTGATGTGACCAAATATTGAAAAGTTGAAATTCTGTGAGATTCTGTGTAGCCATTATCAGTTCCTTCTCATTGAGGAGCTTTTGACACATCAACGGGATGTTCTAATTATCCAAAATGTCTGAGTCTCAGTTATGTACAGGATGTCCAATGGTGCAACTGAAACAGGCAGAAAATGTTTTTGAAAACAAAGGCAAGGACAACAAAGTCTCTTCAAAATATACAAAAATTTAATTTAAATAACAGAAGACAGATGATGTCCATCATAAAGGCATCACCTGCTTTTTTTTATTGCTCTGAGATTTATCACAAGGATTTCGCTACTCTAAAGGAAGTCACAGTGTTGAGACAAGAGGAAACTGCTCTTCAAGCTTACCGACCATCATCATTCACAAGAAGCAGCCTTACTGAATCAGATGATTCTCTGTTCTGTCGAGGAAGGGGCTAGAAATGCCTGCAAGTACCAAATAACTTAAAGGGATACTTCCACATATTTGAAGTAAGGTTCTGTTCAAAGGTTGTAAGAAATCAAGCTCATCCGCAAAACTTTAGTTTGCATAAATCCAGATTAGTTGTCAATGCTAAAGCTAACGGCGAGCTAGCAAGGGGCAAAATCAACCTCTACCTACCTCAAAAGAAAGCAGGAATTTCCTCGGACGCAGTTTCATGTCCCCTTGGACCATCGTTATGCTTGCATTGGGCAACTATGTACACTACGACTGATTTTTATTTACACAGGCAATTCAGATGGGAAGCAGAGTGCCATCTGTGATCTTCATTACTGTGAATTAAGCATGTCAAATGTTGCACACAGGACAATCGGTGGCACACCATCTCCAGCCTCCGTTTCCTGTGTAAGTAATCATCTACTTCAAAGTAAATAACGCCCCAAAGCAAACATGACAGTGGTTTAAAGGTTCATGGAAATAAAGTGGGTGTGTTTTTAAGACTGATGTTCTTTTAAGACAAAAGTATGCTTTGGTATTGGTCTCCAAGATCAACAAATACACTAATGGATGTACCAAAAATTAAAAGAAAATATTTCAGGTAAGCTATTGACTCCTTGGAAAGGTTTAACAGAACCTCACTTTAAATAAGTACCAAACTCAAAGATGCATTAAGAATCAAGTTAATATCAAGTTACTTATTTTCACTGATCACATCTAAGCTACAGTTCTGCAATGACACACGACATACTGGAACCATCAGGTGTCAGGCATTCAGTTCTCTAATTGACCCCAACCTTTCCACTGCTGCTCTAAACTTAAAGAAAAAAAAAAAAAAAGAAAATTCAGGACAGAAAAATTTCAGTTTTCATTGCAAAATGAGCGCCACCTTTCCCGAATCGAAACCTGGGATGAGAGAAACGAGAACATAAAGCAAAGCAGCAGGAAGGTCACTTCCCGAGCAGAATCTGATTATCAAAGGCATTTTTTCTAAGACAATCTCCAGAGCTTAATCGATATTCAAAAAAAAAAAAAAAAAAAAAAGTGCATGAGAAATATTCTTGAAAGGACAAGTCAAACAGGCTTTATCCCTTCAGCTGAATATAATTAATACTTTATGGCAATAACAATTACAGGCAAATGTGTGCTGTCCATTAACCATGTCGATCCAGCCTGTAGAAAATGTACACTTTCTGTGTACATCTAATCACTGCGTTCGAAGGGGTTGACAGGACAAAACACATCTTTGGCTCAATTAACATTTGGGCTTGTCGACCCATTATTAAAGTGGTGCTTTCCATTTGCATTGTTTGTGCATTTAGCATGTTATGTGGTTCTAAAGCGTACAAGAAGTAATATATGAACGCACAGGTAATGGAAGATGTTGGCAGGTTTTCCAGATTAATTTACAGCTCCATCTAGTGGCGGTTACCCCCTCTGCACCGATGAGTTAGTGCACATCAGAAATCTTCTCCAAAAAAAAAGGCACAGCTTTTGATGTGGTATTTGGTGTAACTTTGTCCAAAAAAAAAAAAAAAAAAAGAAAAAAGTTCTGCACTGAGGCCACTGTTGTTGAAATCAGACATTTTCCTGAACTCAAGCTACAGCTGTGCAAGTGTGAAAACTGTTTGTTTTCCACCAGACGTCGACATGTGTACGGTTTCACTGTCCAGACATAAACCAGACCACTGAGGCAGGGCGAGGAGGGAAGTTCAGCAGGAAGCTCCTCGTCCTCTCACTGGATGTGCAGGATGTCGCTCTCTTTCAGACCGAAACGGGTCTTGTACTTGTCAAAAAGGCACCGGAGAGACCTGACGTACATTCCATGGTACAGGTCCACCATCTCCTCTGTTGGGTCCTCAATTTTAGGCACTGTGATCGGCTCCCCGACTGTAACAAGAAGGAAAGAAACGGTGATGAGTAAATCTTGAAGAGGGTCTAAAAAAAAAAAACTTGAGTGGTGTTGAAATTCTTGTTTCAGCAGTACAGCAACGCTTATCCAGAACCGGATTTTAAAGTACATTGGCCTCTGGGCTGAAGCCAGTTTTGGTGCCCCATCCACTTCCTAATAAATAGATAGTCCTGTACACCAGCAGGTATGAACCGATTGATTGTAGATTTAATATGTTCCCTGGCCAGTTGCTCCACGTCATTCTCAAAAAATACAATTTAAAAAAGTATTATAACATCATAATTTTCAAATATGTGGGTATCGTTTTTGTTCATAAAAATCTCAAAATATTTATGCAACTCACCTTTTATATAGTGTAAAATATTATAGGAACTAAAAATTCCATGAGGCACCAAAACATAAAAAACCATCTGGCACAGCCAGAATGACAACAGAAGAGCAAAATTCATACTCTAGAATGGCCTAGTCAAACACCATATTAGGTTGAGTTAAAATATTAGAGCTGAAACTTGAACATTAATGTTCACAGACTACACCCACTGTGAGCTTCAGGTATTTTTGTAATTTCAGTTTCTGGAGATGCAAAGCTGGTAGAGACACATTCCAACAAATTTGCAATGAAACTTTGTTGTGCGAAACATTGTTTCAGGGCGCTGAACACAAATTAACACCACATGTTTTTGTCGTAAGACTTTTGAACACCATGCACTGGTCTATCATATAATGGCCAACGTTCATAGCTGCAATGTGATAAAATATGAAAAAGTTCAAGGTGGTGTGAATAACTTTGCAAATCAGCGCGTCTGACATGCATAGCAGACAAACTTGCCTATGGTGGTGATGGGATTGCAGAAGGGCACGATGCCCCAGGCGCTGCCGTAGAAAAGGCACGGGGCAAAGCCCAAGATCTTCTGTAACCTTTTCTGCAGAGCTCTCCAGCAGGTCCCCTCCTCAAAGATCACCTGCTTGTAGGCGTCATTCTCCCCAAACGAGTACACAGGAACCAGGTCGGACCTAAGCGATCACAAAGAAAGTGTTGTAACTCGACCGATTCTTGAAGTCGAATCAGAAACCACAAAAAGAGAGGAACGAAAGAAATATTTAGCATCAAGGGGTGTCTAGTGAATGCTGATTTAGACATTCCTTTAATAAACGTTTCCTTCCCACCGATCGCCATCTGTTGCACCCAACCGTCCAGTTAGTTTTACAGCCTACATTATTAGTATTTATGCTTTTATTGTTATACAACTATTCCAACAGAAAATGACCTGGCACCGATGACGATCATCACACCAGATGGCTAGGGGAAGACGTGGCAAACGTGTGAATTTTAGCACGTCTCAACTTAACCAAGCCGCCTGCTTTTATTTGATAACAACAACCAAAAGAAACACATTCGAAAGAAGGCGGGTTATACTTCTGTTTACAGCTTACTAGTTGCCTTACGTCAGACTAGGTTGCACAATAACACCGTTGGCACCAGCAGTCCGTTCTGGGGCAAACACTTGAGTTTTTGTTCTGTCGAGGCATAAGATTTATGCAAGGAGATTGCACGAGAGGAAAACTTTCAGGATTAAACCTTCTCATTTTATCTGAGGCAACGTTTTTATTATTTTTACAAGAACAT